TTAAACACTCCCTCCCCAGCCCCCCAAACTCCTCTCTGGATGACTGGCCGGGGAAGGGGCCGAGGGAGGGCCAAGGCCAGTCTCGCACAACCCCCATCGGTGTCCGGCCCTGGCTTCCCCTTCTTGGCACAGGACACAGACGTGTTTGTGCTGCACCCCAGGGGAGCCGCGGCCGGACAATGGTGAATGATTTATTCAGGGCCGTGGGTGTGAGTTCCCAAGTGTTGCTAAACCCATGGATGGCTGCCCTCCTTCCTCGCTGGCAGCCGGTGGTTTCCGGATGCGTCCAGGAGGAATTCCATTAGTTCCGGTGGCTTTCCAGGCGCTGTTTTATCTTTCCCGCAACCTTCCCAGCCCTTGCGGTTAGCGCTGTGCCTCCCAGCCCTCCAGCCACGGGCGACCGGCGTTATGTGCATTTTCAACGTTACAACGTCAAACTCCGTGCGTGAAAAATGTTCGAGATTAATCACAGATGGGTCCCAAACCGTTCCGTATCGGATCCTATCTCTTGGTGATCTGATCCGCCCCGGGGATGGCGTGTGTAAATGTCTACATTGGCGAGGTGTCCTCCCCGAATGGACCACGGGGCGGGGACCAATCTTCGGGGAGAACTCTGACTCCCCAGCGGCGAAGCTTGGCTCCGAATCCCCGCGTAGTAGCCCCTGTTTCTGCCCCAGGCTCCCAAACAGTTATGAACCGAGGAATTCTTCCTTTGGATGATGATGAGGTTTCAGGAAAACCCCGGACAAAGCCCGTGACGCACGGCTTCTGTGAAACGCATGGACGGGGCAGGAGCTGGTTGCCACCCTGTCTAGCTGTGGAATATATTTTGAATAGTTTTTCTAACACAAAATTGCTGAAAATGTGCTTGCTATTTGGCAGCTTTCTCTGTGCACTTGGGATACGTCTCGAGCATTTCCCTGGGTCCTTAAAGAGCTTTCTCCACCCTCCTTTTTACTGGTAGTGGGTGCAGAGTATTTCACTGACTGATTGTTCCACAATTTATTTATCCAAAATATCATCGCTGGATGTTTGGGATAATTATATGGTCATACAGTCCATTCAGGTATCTGCCCGGCGTTCAGCAGGCATCGGCCGCTGGCCAGGCCTCCTGCGGTAGGCAAGGCACACTCCCGGCCCCCTCGGAGCTCTGCGTCTGGGGAGATCTTGTGGTTGACATGCCAGAGCAAGAATTCCACCCACAGACGTTTTGGACACAGCACTGGCCATGGGGCAGCCTGCCCCAATGGGCGGGGACGCCTCCGAAAGCCTGCTGTCCCCTCACCCCAAAGCGCTCGGACCCTGACCTGCACCTGTGGGAGGCGGGCAGCGGGAGGCTCCCATCGGGCTGGGTGCCAGGATCCTCCTCTTGTTTGCCACCTCCTCCCAGGGGGCATTCCCAGTCCTGCACAGGTCAGTCTCTGCTGCCGACTCCAGGAGATCAACATCCAGGCTGGTGAGGAAGAAGCAGGAATGGGGCTTGAGCGGTGGTTGTTGGTCAATATGGAGCAATCGGCTCTCAACATCTATATATATAAAAGCCCAAGCAACCGTTAAGACCAAACGACCAAACGACCGAACAACCAGTCGCTATGACATGCACTGACCACCAGGGGGCAGACACTCAACACAGAAGCTGCCCCCTGGTGGTCAGTGCACTCTCACAGCGGGAGTGCCTCTCAGCTGACAGACCCATCCTGGCAGCCCACCAGCCTGGTGGCAGCCACTCACTCCCTCAGTAATCCTACAGGTCCAATCTCCAGAGAACGGGCCAGGCACCAATGGACCAGAGCTGCCAGCATGATCCCCGACAGCGCTGACAGCCTTGGGCACCATGGGTGCTTTTCCTCCCTAGACGCTCCAAGGAAGAAAGGATATAAAAGTGGCCACCAGGCGGCTCCCGACAACCAGGGCGAATGTCAGTGGGATGGATCCGGATCCTGGGCCGGCAAGGGCATCCCACCCCCCACCCAGAGGGCCGATCATGCCCCTCCCCCCCCATCACCACCGCACCCATGCACAAGTTCATGCACTGGGCCTCTAGTATATGCATAATTGTACATGCACAGAAGTTTGTTATAAATTTCACTGGTACAAAGGATGTGTGGACAAAAGGGGCCACAGGCTACCCAGACAGCTCAGGGAAGGCCTGTGTGGTGGCCTTGCAAACTCTAAGACAGCGGTTCTCAACCTGTGGGTCGCAACCCCTTTGGGGGTCGAACAACCCTTTCACAGGGGTCACTTAAGACCATCGGAAAAACACATATATAATTACATATTGTTTTTGTGATTAATCACTATGCTTTAATTATGTTCAATTTGTAACAATGAAAATACATCCTGCATATCAGATATTTACATTACGTTCAAAACAGTAGCAAAATTACAGTTATGAAGTAGCAACGGAAATAATTTTATGGTTGGGTCACAACATGAGGAACTGTATTAAAGGGTCATGGCATTAGGAAGGTTGAGAACCACTGCTCTAAGACCTAAAGTAACCACAACGGTCTGGAATGAAAACCTTAACTAAAAGCAGTTACGGCGGGTAGTCATGTCCTAGGCCGGTATCTTCCCTGACCAGGTCAATCTTTACCTGAACTGAGCCTATTGTCTTTTTGCATCCATGATGGCACATCGTTGGAATGTCACAGTAATTTCCCCTTTTCCAGACCCGTTAAAGCGCAGGCACCGCTCTGCAAGGCCACACATCCCCTCACTGTTAGTGAGTTAATTGACGACTGCTAACTATCCTGCCCCCACTTAAGTAAAAGAAGGGGCTGCCTGTCGGAGGGGCAGACGCACTGACTTTACTTTTTATATAACGTTATTTCTATAACTTTATTTTTTATCCAATCCCAGAGGTCTCCCCACTCTGCTTTCTCCCGCCTCCCTAATCCATCACCATTGGAGTTCATGTCGCCCACTTACGTCTCCTCTCCGGATTGTCGCGTACAGAACGCGGTGAAAAGCCGCCATTCTCCGGAACATTATCACAACCTGTTGAGGTCCTGCTTCCCGGCAACTGTGGACAGTTTGGCTCCAATAACCTCACAAAAATCCTTTCAGGTTTGAATGTCTTTTTACGTTAACAGATGTATAGGACGCAGCTGACAAATCGTTAAAGTCATCTAACTAAAACCAGGGCAATTAGGCACGGGTACTCTCACTGTCCCTCTGTTGGCACCCCGACTGGGGCCGGGGGTGGAACCCGCAACCTGGGCACGTGCCCTGGCTAGACACCGCGCCCTTTCGGTGTAGGGGCCGCGCTCTTGTAACTGAGCCTCACCGGCCAGGGCAGTTGTTCTGTATTTTGTGACGCGGTGGCACCTTGAGGCCTTGGGGACCTTGCAGCTAATTCCCAGACACGGCAAACAACGTGCTCGCCAGTCCAGGGCCCACACGCCCACCCGCCTCCTTCATCAAACTCTCACACATCCAGACATCCTTGCCCCGGGGCCCTAAATCTCCCAGGGCCTGACAGCGGGCAGCCAGGGGCCCCTACAGTCCAGACTCTGCTGGAATCGTGCAAGCCGTTCAGTCCTAAACTCACTCAATGCACCCATGTGCCTCACCCATTCCACCCCACATTACCCACGGGAGACTGTGGCCGCCCCTGCATCCGCCCACCCCGGCTGCTTCTCCCCGTGGCCCCCAGGCCCCCGCAGCGCCTTCCTCCCGAGGACTGTGAGTAACAGTTCCCAGCTGCCCTCTCCTCCCCACGTCTGTCCTCTTACCAAGCCCCATCCAAACAAAACCCTGGATACATTTGAAAACAATGAGGAGGCCAACTGGGCTCCAGTGTGTGTGTGTGTGTGTGTGTGTGTGTGTGTGTGTGTGTGTGTGTGTACTGCCCACTTTAGCTCCCAGCCCCTCCGCCCGCACCACCCACACTGGCATTCGCCTTGCCCTGCTTGCTGTCCAGTCTCCTCCATTCGGCCGGTGAACTCCCCCAAGTTGGCCCAAGTCTAGACTATGATGCTTTGAGCTAAATTCGTTCAGTTTCTGAAACACTGCTTCTGGACGCCCACTCCCCCTGCAGAGTTTTACACAAAAACTTCAGATAAGAAGAACAATTGCAACAGTCTCCAAGGCCACATGGGGCAGGGGTGGGTGCCCTGTTGGGGAGGGGGCAGGGGGAGTGTCCTGTTGGGGGGGGGCCGGAGGAGGTTCCCTGTCCAGAGGGGGAGGGGGGCTGCTTGTCAGAGGGGGCAGGGGGGCTGCCTGTCGGAGGGGGGGGCTGCCTGTCGGAGGGGGGGCTGCCTGTCAGAGGGGGGCTGCCTGTCAGAGGGGGCGGGGGGCTGCTTGTCAGACGGGGCGGGGGGCTGCCTGTCGGAGAGGGGGGCTGCCTGTCGGATGGGCAGACAGGCTGACTGCAGCTGCATCTCAGAAGCTGATGGCCCCGAGGTGCCACAGCCGCTCCTCACAGCGAGGCCGAGGGCGCAGGCCTCCGGTGCCCACATGTCAAAGGGCTCCGTGGAGCTGGTCCTGAGGCATCGGCTCTGACAGCCTCCGTGGGGAGCCCAGAGGGGAAGGCGGCCGGGAGAATGGGGACTCGAGATGCCGGGGGATTCGGGATCTTCCCTCGACAAGAAAACTGGAGTGTGTCCCCAGCGGAGCTTCGTACACCCTTTGAGTCTCAGGAGACGACGTGCCCGAGCTCGGGGAGGCGGCAGGAGCTGTGCCCCGTGAGCAGCGTGGCGTGTGCCAGCCGGGTCTCCCCAGGCCTCTGTGCCCCTGAGACATTCAGGAATGCGACCCAGGGCGGCCAGCCGGGACTCTCGCGGGCAGAGCACGTGGCACCCACAAGACACGCACGTCCGAGCGGGTCTGTCTCTCTTTTTTTTTTCTTTTTAATATATTTTATTGATTTTTTACAGAGAGGAAGGGAGAGGGATAGAGAGTTAGAAACATCGATGAGAGAGAAACATCGATCAGCTGCCTCCTGCACACCCTCTACTGGGAATGTGCCTGCAACCCAGGTACATGCCCTTGACCGGAATCAAACCTGGGACCTTTCAGTCCACAGGCCGACGCTCTATCCACTGAGCCAAGCCGGTGAGGGCGGGTCTGTCTCTGAGGTGGTCCACCAGCAAGTCCTGGGAACTGGAACCAGACCCCGGGCAGCCCTGAAGCAGCCCAGGGACTCGGAGTCAGACTCGGGGGCGGGGAGGGGGGCAGAGAGGACAAAGTGATGTTTCACCTGTGCGCCCCAAAGCCCAATCGGGTGCAAATAGGGGTTTGCAGCCAAGAAAGCAGAGGTTTACTCGGCGGGGAAATGGCGCCAAGCCCGGAGCCAAGGGGCGCTAGTGCTCACAGGCCTGGCTCCCCGCGGCTACCCGGGGGTGGGTCACCTGGGGGGAACTCATCAAGGGGTGGGGTCCTGGGCTCTGCTGACGGGTTGGGGGCAGGGCAGGGAGGGGCTGGTGGTGGCCTCGGGCCCTGGTGTCGGCTGTGCCGTTGTTCTGTCTGGTTTCCTGAGGGTGTGGTCCGCCCGGAGAGTCGTCCGCTTTCGGGGACCTGGGCCTGACACAGAACTGAAGTCAAGATGTTATCTTCAGCCCTGGCTGGTGTGGCCCAGTGGATAGAACACCAACCTGTGGACTGAAGGGTCCTGGGTTCGATTCCGGTCAAGGGCACATGTCCGGGTGGGGGGCTCAGTCCCCAGTGTGGGGCGTGCAGGAGGCAGCCGGCCAATGGTTTTCTCTCATCATTGATGTTTCTCTCTCTCTGTCCCGCTCTCTTCCTCTCTGAAATCCTTCAGAGGAGTTTGGTGCTGGATGTGTAGCAGCTGCACTGCCTCCTTTGTGGTGTTTATTCTCTAGACTCTGTTGTAGATCCAGTTTCATACATTGGGATAAAGAATAATCTCCATCATGACCAGGTGTGTTTAGGGGAAGATGTGGATAGTAATTTAGGAGTAATTAAGTTTAGGAGATGAAAATCTTGTTACTTGATGTCTGCATGTGGCCCTTGGGACCACTGTCACCGTGTCCCCACACGATGGGGGTCACCTGGAACCCGCACCTGACCCAGGGCCACATGGGGGAACCTACCTGGGTACATGATGGGGCCGAACCAAGACCGAGCACACACACGTCCAGGGCTCTTGTTTCCTTAGGTTGTCATCTCCTTGTGCAGCCGGTTCAAGTGTTCTTTCCTCACTTCCCTCTGAAACAGCCCGCCTATTTCCTAGAGTCACGGAGACGCTTTGATGAGAATGTGCAGGAGCACCAGCCATCTGTGTGTAGACTTTGTATCTTATGTCGTTCCTGAGCTTACTTTCTACTTTCATAAGTTTTCTGGTGCAGTTTTTGGGGTTATCTATGTACAACATCATGTCATCTGCATAAAGAAAAGGAGAAACATTTTTAAAAAATAAAATAAATAATGTGAAGGTCTTACTCGAGGTCGCCCAGTAAGTCAGCAACCCAATGCCAGCTCCACCCACACCTCCACACACTCCCCACCCCCAGCCACCCCGCCACCCTGCCACCCGCCACCCAGCCACCCCACCACCAGCCACCCTACCACACAGCCACCAGCCATCCCACCACCCAACCACCCTACCACACAGCCACCCCGCCACCTCGCCACCCCGCCACCCAACCACCCTACCACCCAGCCATCCAGCCATCCCACCACCCAGCCACCCTACCACACAGCCACCCAGCCATCCCACCACCCAACCACCCAACCACCCAGCCACCCTGCCACCCCGCCACCCAGCCACCCCACCACCCAGCCACCCTACCACACAGCCACCCAGCCATCCCACCACCCAACCACCCTACCACACAGCCACCCCGCCACCTCGCCACCCCGCCACCCAACCACCCTACCACCCAGCCATCCAGCCATCCCACCACCCAGCCACCCTACCACACAGCCACCTAGCCATCCTACCACCCAACCACCCAACCACCCAGCCACCCTGCCACACAGCCACCCAGCCACCCTACCACACAGCCACCCTACCACACAGCCACCCAGCCATCCTACCACCCTACCACACAGCCACCCAGCCACCCTACCACACAGCCACACAGCCATCCCACCACCCAGCCACCCCACCAGCCTCTGAATTCCAAAGAGGGAGGGAAAGTAGCCCCTTCCCCAGGGCTCTCCAGGAAAACGGGAGAATCGGCCGAAGGAGGGTTCCCTCCTTTGGACGCCGCGCCAGGATGTGGCTCACCCCACACACTCAGCTGTCGGCGAGACAAAGCCAGGGACACAGAGGCCAGTGCCCCGTCAGAGGCCACAGGAAGCCTGGCGGCAGCCCCGGCAACCTCTGAAGAGCTGCTTCCTCAGAGCCCAGCCCGGGCCCGGCCACCTCCCCCCCAGGGAGCCCCGCGTCTTCATCTTCGCAGAGAACGTCTCCCTATATGGTGCCTGTTTGCTCCGCGCTGGCGCCCAAAATAGGAGCTGGGGAAGCGGCTCCTCCGCTCACGGAGGGAAGGGCGTTTTCTAGAAAGGACGCGGTATCCTGGGATGGGACTGGGAAGGGAGCGGGCAGAGTGACAAGTGGGCCTGGCCTTGGTCATTCAGGGGGAGGCGTTCTGTCTAGGGCTGTGGCCTCCAAGCCCATTAGTCAGATGGGAAGGGGCAGGGGCAGGGCCAGGGCCGGTTGCACCGAGGTCTGGGTCTGTCCTGAAAGGATCCCAGAATCGTCTCTTCTTTAAATTAAGGTGAAATCCGTATTCACATCCATTAGCCATTTTAAAGCATACAATTCAGTGGCACGGAGTACATTTACATGGTCTACGTGAATGTACTACCTAAGTCCCCAAATCTGTTCATCACCCCAAAGAACACCCTGCACCTGTTAAGCAGTTAGCCCCCATTCCTCTCTCCGTGTCCCCCCAACCCCTGACAGGGAGAGAGAGAGCAAGAGAAACATTAATGATGAGAGAGAAACATCAATGATGAGAGAGAATCATTGATCGGCTGCCTCCTGCACCCCTACACTGGGATCGAGCCCACAACCTGGGCATGTGCCTTGACTGGGAATCGAATTGTGACCTCCTGGTTCATAGGTCGACGCTCAACCACTGAGCCATGCTGGCCAGGACTGGACATCCTATATAATAAAAGGGTAATATGCGAATTGACCGAATGGCAAAACGACTGGTCACTATGATGTGCACCGACCACCAGGGGGCAGATGCTCAGCGCAGGAGCCACGAGCTGGGCTGATGCTGTCAGCTGGACATCCCCTGAGGGCTCCTGGACTGCTAAAGGGCTCAGGCCGGGCTGAGGGACCCCCCCACCCCAGTGCATGAATGTCATGCGCCAGGCCTCTAGTTTTGTATAAACGGACTCATACAATATTCTGACTTCTTTCACCTAGCACGATGTTTTGAAGGTTCACCCAAGTTGTAACATGTGTCAGTACTTCATTATTTTTTTCAAACTTGAGATATAATTTACATGTAACATTATATTAGTTTGAGGTGTACAATATAATGATTCGGTATAAGTATATATTGCGAAACGTTCAGTACAGTGAGTCCAGTTAACATCCATCACCACCCATAGCTACAATTTTTTTCTTAGCACATATTTGCACGGCCCAGTCAGGCATCTGGTTAGGTGAGCCTGTGTTCCAGCTGCAGGCATGTGTGTGGGGTCCGCCTGGCCATGGGAGCAGGGGCCAGAGCAAGGAAGCAGGAGCAAAGCAAGAGAAACAAGAGAGAGAAGGAGAGAGAGAGAGAGAGAGAGAGAGAGAATTTTTTGTTCTTGTTCTGGAGATTTTAAGTAGGAGCTGATCCAGTGAATTCTTCAGGATGGCAGGCGCTCGCTGTGGCTCCTCCCGCTCCAGCCAATGATCTCTTCCTCAGGTCAGACTGACAGGCACCTTCCCCACGTCACCCTGACTTTACTGCGCATGCGTCCACCTCCCTTTGTCTGATTCCTGCCCCCAGTGATCTGCAGGGAAAGGGCGGTGCTTCCCTGTGGAGGTTGAAGTTGCAGCTTCCTGGTGAAGCTGCTCCGACGACCAAAGCTTAGAATGTCTGGCCTCCCTTTGCTCCTCTCCAATGAGCATTAACAACTGGCTAGTGACAGTGGCAACAGCCGGAGGCAGAAGGCCCCACGCATTTGGTGTCAGAAGTGCGAGTGTAACAGCCCACCCTGGGATCAATGACGCCAGAATTCAGGACTTGCTTCATTTTAGGAAGAAAACATGGCGCCCCTACCATTGTCAATCTAAAAACAAAACAAAACAAAAAAACCAGTTACTTTTCCAGCAAAACATGCGTTTATTTGGGAACAGCAAAGAATTGCCATTCAGGACATGCGCGGTATAGCCAAAATCCATAGGCAAGTCTAGAGAACAAAGGAGAGGAATGTACTTTCTTTTAAAATATATTTTATTGATTTTTCACAGAGAGGAAGGGAGAGGGATAGAGAGTTAGACACATCGATGAGAGAGAAACATCGATCAGCTGCCTCTTGCACACCTCCTACTGGGGATGTGCCTGCAACCAAGGTACATGCCCTTGGCCGGAATCGAACCTGGGACCTTTCAGTCTGTAGGCCGACGCTCTATCCACTGAGCCAAACCAGTCAGGGCGAGGAATGTACTTTTATAGAGAAAAGGATGGAGAGAAGGAGGGGCTGGGAGGGGCAATTCCAAAAGAGTCCATTGGAGGAGGCTGGGGGTAAGATGAGGGGCGCTCCATTGGCACCCCTGCCTGGACCTCACAATCAGCTGGAGTTCTGTTAAAAACACAGACCCTGGGCCCCACCTGACCTGCTGCAGAGCGCGCAGCTCTGAGCAGGGCCCGGGGGCGGCACGGCGCACAGGCTCTCCAGGCGAGTCCCGTCAGCCGGCAAGTTTGGGGATCACCGTGCCATTCCGTTGATGTTGGTAAGAAGGACCCACTCATTTACATTTGGGGGTGCAACAGCGAAGAGCTCTCTTTCTCACATGTAACGATGTCCACTCTGGAAGCCACGTCCTCCCTTTGTCAGCGTCTGCGTGCATCTTTCCAGACCCGGCTGCTCAGTCCTGCCCACTCCCTGCGCTGGCGGCTGCTCAGTGCCCACCGCTGGCCGCTGAGCCTTTCAGTGAGCACGGCTCGCTGTGCCCGTCCCATCGCCGGGATCTCAGAATCGGTGGGCTCCCCTGCTGGCCTTCAACCCCGAACGGTGAAGCTGAGCTCGGAACTGGCTTGTTTCGGCAACGATCTGATGATGTTTCTAAGCGGGGGGTCGGGGGATAGGGGTGGGGGGGGGCGGGAATTTCCACGCGTCCTCTTGCACAAATCGTGAGGTTGTGAGACAGGAACAGAGAGGAAGCTGTCCCCCCTCCCGTCCCCTGTCACTGACCATGGTCGCTCACAAACATTGTAGCCGCCTCCATGGCCACGCTCTCGTACCCTAAACAGCTCGTGGTAAATAGACTGCTTGGCTTTTTTATGTTTATCTTTTTCCGAAGGATGAGGAAACGCGCGGACGGATGGAATATTTTGGGGGACGTTCTTTGCCCCTGATGCTGCCCAGAGGGAGTGACATTTTTTTCTGTGTCGGTCTCAGGAAATAATCTGTCACATTTGAGATCCTGTCAGAAGTATTTACTACTTGTAAACTTCCTGCTCCTTCCTCCTCCAATCTGTTGATCCTGTAAGATTACAGGGAGAGGGGATGATGGTGCCAACAGCGTTAAATACCGGGCGATCCTTAAAAGGACAGCCCGCATCTTGTGGAAACGGCTTGGAGCTGGAGCAGGCGGGCCCTGTCATTTACTGGCCGTGGAAAAGTTACTTAATTTCTCTGAAGCTTAGTTTTGTTTTTTACACAAAAAAGGAATCATCATTGCGGTAGATTACAAAAGTGGTCCCCCCCACTCCCCTATTCGCATGCTTTGCAGTGTGCTTTGCAGGTCCTCCCAGCAAGAAGTAGCATCTAGCCCAGCTGGTGTGGCTCAGTGGTTGAGCATCAACCTATGAACCAGGAGGTCATGGTTCCATTCCCGGTCAGGGCACGTGCCGGGATTGTGGGCTCGATCTCCAGTAGGAGGCGCACAGGAGGCAGCTGATTGTTGGTTCTCTCTCATGGTTGATGCCACCCCCCACCCCTTCCTCTCTCTGAAATCAATAATTGAAAAAGCAAGAAGTGGCTATTTCCCATATCTCTGAATCTGGGTGGGCTTTTAATTTGCTTTGGCCAAAACAAATGCCGGGTGCCAGTTTCAAGTCTAGGCTCCAGAAGCCTTGTGACGTCTGCTCTCTCCCAGAACCCTGCTCAGCTGCCGTGTGAACAGATGGGATGGCCTCCTGGAGGGTGAGAACCGCGTGGAGCAGAAATGAGCCAGGGCAGGCCCCCTACATCAGCCCACCTCCAGCCTACCCGGCCGCTGAATACAGAGCCGTTAGTGAACCCAGCTCAGGCTAGAAGAATCTCCCTGCTGAGACCAGCCCACACTGTCTACCTGCAGAATGGGGAACCACATACGCAGTCATTTTTAAAAAAATAGATTTTATTGATTTTTCACAAAGAGGAAGGGAGAGGGATAGAGAGTTAGAAACATCGATGAGAGAGAAACATTGATCAGCTGCCTCCTGCACACTCCCCACTGGGTATGTGCCCGCAACTGAGGTACATGCCCTTGACCGGAATTGAACCCGGGACCCTTGAATCCGCAGGCGGACGCTCTATCCACTGAGCCAAACCGGTCAGGGCCCCAGTCATTTTTTTGAGGCCACTAGGTGGACCCCCCACGGCCGCAGGCAGCCCACGCTTGACCTGACAAAGGTAGAGCTCTTTGAGTCCCTGGGTTTGTCGGCTACAGCCCCTGCCTCGCGCCCAAACCCAGGCCTTGCCCCCACCGAGGCAGTTAGCGCACGACATGGGTGTGTTTGTACCGTCTGAGCAACGTCAGCTCAGGGCAGCGCTGCCTTGTGCTCCCATGTGACATGGATGACTTGCGTCCACTGCAATCAACAGATGTGTATTGCGGTCGGCTGAGCTGGGTGGGCAGGACTGAGGACTGAACTACAACAAGCCACTTGTCCAGCATGTGAACAGCTCCTAATAAGGAAAGGTACCAGTTTCAGGGTTCATCTTCCCCAAAAGGCATTTTCTCGGAAAATCTTTACTGGCCTGCCGAAAACCTACTGCCTCTCAGCTCTTCCCGTCTCACCGCGACCTGCCTGTTCAGGTGGCTCTCCCTGTGCTGGCGAATCTAACCACACCCAGACCCCCCTACCATAGCCAACTCCTGCCTCTGCACCCTGGTGCAAACCTGGGAGACCTTTGCTTCTCGCTGCAGTGCGGCTGTTGGACATTTCGGTCGAGGGCTGGGACCTGGGTTCGGGATCTGGAGCAGAGAGATGTGCACTAGTTGCTAGGGCTGCCGTAACCATAGACCGAAGCCTGGCTGGTTAGACAACAGGGATTCACGGTCCCACAGTTCTGGAGGCTGGAGGCGCAC